TAGTACACATCTAACATTTCAGTTACATCTATTTGAATGAAAAAAATGGCAACTTAGGAAGCACATAGGTCACTTATGATGCGTATTCGGGCATATGCGTAGAGTAAAAATATCATACTTTACGCCGAAAAAACGAAACTGAAAGTTAAATGCGTTAACTTCCGAAAACCATGCATAATCCAACGAAAATGAATAATTGGTAAATAACAGCTTTCTTGTATGCAAAGAAAAAAAATTAAAAATGTTAAAAAGATATGTCGACACAAAATTACATAGCCCCTTCAATTCTGAAGATACTACAAACGAACTGTACCTTAACATTTTCATATCCCAGAAGCAAAAGTTCCTATGACGAATATTGCTATCGCTAGCGATTGCAAAAACCAACTTGTTTTTTTTTTTTTTTTTTTTTTTTTTTTTTTTTTTTTTTTGTTGCTTCTCAATGTATTCAAGATTTTGTGCAACAAACTGAAAATAAAAATTAAAAACAAACAATTCGCGATAGGAATAGGGGGATAGAACTCTACAAAAATTTGGAGTGCACCATTAGACGTTAACGTTACGGTACTATGAAACTTTGCGTACTGTCCTACAGTTTCAAAAGCTTCTAGCTCAATCTCCAAATTTAATTTGTTCTATTCTCGTCTTTTTGTTTTTATATTTTGTACATTTCTACTGGTCTCTCGTTCCCCAGTGTTGAAGCACCTGTAAATAAATGTATAGACCGACTAACCAACCAATCAGACAAAATCGAGAGCAATTTAAGTGCGTAATGCTACAATATAATAGCATACTACCGGCCCAGTACCCTCGGGGGGCTCTCCCCCCTCCAGACCCCAGGGGTGCTCGCACCGCCCTACGCGGGACTAAGAGCAGAACCTCCGGTCCGAACACGGCCGGGTTGGTTCAAATAACTTTTAACGTTTTTAAGACTTTTTGTCCTTACGGTAGACCCTGAGCGACAACCTAAATTAGGACAACAAGGAAAATAAAGTTTTAAATGCTCATAACCTTTTTTTGCCATCACAGCTTTCTAGATCACATTATATTCATGATAAATTTAAAGAAAATTGCTGTTAAAAGTTGAGTTCCCCTCAGATTTAGCACTTTTGTACAGTCTATACGGTAAGGACAAAGTGTTGTCCTCACTGTAGACTATACAGAAAGCAAAAGCAAATGAGTGAAACGTTTTTATCTTCAACAAATTTTTCTTGATGTCGATTTTTTAGGCCTTAAAAAAAGGCACTTTCCGAGAAATTTGTGTCAACTGAAAGGCAAAGAAAAAAATCCAAGGTCACTATCGGACTTATCGGGGAAAAAAACTGATGATTAGTCACATTTGGCTTTTAAAAAAATTCTTACCCTTTCTTTTTGACGCAATTCCAGCAGATAAGATTCACTTTTATCGAATGTGCAGATTTTGTCGTTGAATCAAAAAAATGTCTTTCTCTGAAAATGTTAGAAAAATTCTGGCCTGTCATGTTCAAGTGCAGAGGGAAAAATAGGGATACACGGTTTTATCGTTTTAAGTTTTTCACTTAGGTGTATAGAACGCTCACAAAAAAGTCCCCGTGAATCCGAGTTGTGCTAAACCCAGGGGAGGGAGGGAAAGGGTCAAATTGGGGTATTTTCGGGTTTTTCTTGATTTTACCGGTTTAAATGTCGGCTTGAGCGCAAAAAAAATATTGTATTCAAATGTGAACTACCGTAAAATTCCCAACAGTGAGTGTACATGAGACCTCGGACCCCCCCTCTCCCCCTCCCCTCCAAATTACGTTATTTTTTACCCTAAAATCGGCATTTTCAGGTGCTCCCGTCTGTAGCGGTATTAATCATGGTTTTAATCCAGTAATGCTCATATTTACTAAAAAAAATCTTAAAACTTGCAACAAAAAGAGCTCTAAGTACTCTTAGCCATATTTGCATCTCCGCCCCACTACCCCCAAATACCCTCACCACCTCCCCGGCTACCCTCCCCTTTCCCTCAATTAGGTAATTTTTCGGCATTTAATTATCGGCTTAAAAGAAAAAAAAATGATTATGTACACTCAATATAAAATGTCCGAGTAGAATTATTCAAAATCAAAACTATGCGTAAGTCCCATGCAGCCCCCCCCCTTCCACTACTCCCACAAAAAATTATTTTCAACTCGTCCGATTTTTCTCCTGGCAAAATGACACTGTGGAACTAGACAAAAGGTAGAAATTGATCCTTGTTTAGTTCGACACGTCGAGTTCGAAGATGACCCCCGTTTTTATGCATCGCCTTAGCGCATCTTCTAGTTCTCCGAAAAAGCTGGTGTCCATCGGAAAATTGACTTTGCGCTTTCGGTGCTTTGCGGAAATTTTTCTGTTCAGAATGCACAAAAAAAATGAATTGGTCTCCTCAGTGTGCCAATTTCTGTGCATCTTGAACCGCTAGAAGTGAACATGATCTGACCGTTTTTTCTTATAACCTTTGAATTTTCTGGAAAAGCCTATCTTCCCGGCTACAAGAGGCGAGCATCAGCCACTTTTGTTCCTTTAAAAGAACTAAAATTTCTGGCGGTCTTTGATTGGTAGCTTTATGTGTAGGTATTTTTAGCCGCTAAATCTGAAAAGGATTGCCGTATTTTTCCCCCATGATTCTCAAGTTTAGCTTCTAGGCAAGAACTTCTCCCAACTGCTCCAAGTCCCCAACATTTTTTTTAGAAAAAGAGTCTCTGTTGTGAGTTTTTTCATTGTAAAACCACTTTAACTGTGTTTTATACTTTTAAAAAATTTTCCCAGCTTCTCCACTACGTCGCCCCAAAGTATTCGAAAGGTACTTAAACCTGAAAGGACCTACATGCAATTCTTTTACTATTCAGCTTTCATGGACCTCCGATTTTCTAGTAGAATAAGGGTGCTGAGGCTTTACCGGGCCGCCTCCAGTATTGCGTGCAAGATTTTTGACTACACGCTTAACCTTGTAGTGCTTAACTACTCATCACGCACATGATCTTAGACTGCAAGCTTCCTTTCATGAGAATTAGTTTGTTTTTTTTTTTTTTTTTTTTCTTTAAAAAAATCAATGTGAGCATAGTGTCTAGGGACAGGGGACAGGGGGACATCCTAGGGTCCACCGACGTCGGTGGACCCGCAACGAACTGAAGTTGTCTCGGTAAAAATCGATTATCTCGCAAACCAGTGGTCCAAAAATAAAAACCTATAGCTCGTTAGAAAGCTAAAGTCTTGTAGAACAATATGATGTTGTAATGTTAACTTTTTTATCGCTATTATCCTCCCCGAAAGTTAGAGAAACATAATCTTTTGAAAAAACACGTGTGTCAACCTTATAATCGCTTTTATTTTTGAAGAGCCCGACAGATTATTTTCGTTTTTGCCTAAAATGACAGTACTTGCATCCCACTTCAAGCTCCCGAAGAGACTTTTTGGTGTCCTCGACTTTTCATTTAAAGTTGGTTCAGACGAGCCTTGCGGGGAGGTGGTGAGGGTATTTGGGGGTAGTGGGGCGGAGATGCAAATATGGCTATAAGAGTACTTAGAGCTCTTTTTGTTGCAAGTTTTAAGATTTTTTTTAGTAAATATGAGCATTACTGGATTAAAACCATGATTAATACCGCTACAGACGGGAGTACCTGAAAATGCCGATTTTAGGGTAAAAAATAACGTAATTTGGAGGGGTGGGGGAGAGGGAGGGGGTCCGAGGTCTTATGTACACTCACTGTTGGGCATTTTACGGTAGTTCAAATTGAATACAATATCTTTTTGCGCTCAAGCCGACATTTAAACCGCTAAAATCAAGAAAAACCGAAAATACCCCAATTTGACCCTTTTCCCTCTCCCCTGGGTCTAGCACAACTCGGATTCACGGGGACTTTTTTGTGAGCGTTCTACATATACACCTAAGTGAACAACTTAAAACAATAAAACCGTGTATCCCAACTTTTCCCGCTATTCGTATGGTTTTGATTCCCCGCGCCTGCACTATGTGAGCCTAAAGAATTCTGTCCACTGAAACGAGAAATGACGTAAGTACCTATTAATTGAGCACCAGTTTTCTAATTAATCTAATTAATTCCGGAAAAGCCCAACTATTTTGTGAAAAACTTTGATTTTCCTTGAAATTTTGATTCGATGGGCTTAATGGGCATTTTCCCCCATTTCAGCCTTAATAATTACATAGGTATCAATCAAGTTACCGCTTATACCACCTAAGGCATGACCCGAATTTTTCAGGACTGTTTTACCTGTTATTTCACCTTTAGACAAGGTACTGATAGGAAAAAGGGTTTTTTCTTGTCAAAAAGGCATTTTCTTCTACTTCATCATCGTCATTTTTAAGCTAGGTTGTACACAAGGACACCTGGAAACTAGATCCAAATTAAAAGGATCTGCAAATTAAATTTCGTCATCGAGTTGCCTGATTTAATTTCGTTCCACAAATAATCAACATTTAGATGTGGTTATTAGGTTTTCTTTCAGCTGTGTACTCTGTTGTTTATGCAAGGCATTTGATTTGAGTACAGTATCCGGATATGCGTAAAAATTATCTGTAAAAAAATTACTGCAAATACTAATCTCACATTCTCGAATGGTCACAAGAATGGTTTATGGTGGTTGGACATAGAGACATGTTACCTATGTGGAGTGTTTTCGCTGTTTTCCGAGCCATATATTTTGGATACTTATTCTCTGTTAAAAACAAGGAAAACAATAGGTTTCAAAATAACAACACAGAAGATAGATTTCACAAAGGTGTGAAAATACATGGTTAGATTTGTTGTATTCATAATTTTACCGGAAAAGTGCACTTTGAACGTTTTGAATAAGTTAACCATTGCAAAAATAATATTAGAATAAGGAAAGGAGAGCAATGTTCAAGAATACAAACTTTTTAATTTGCTTACAGGTGGAGTGGAGTATACATTGCAGTGGAGACTGATGGAGTAGGGATAGGAGAGGGGGTGAGTAAGTCCCACACGCGTTGTGTCCGTGTGTCGGTTGGGTGCTGGGTCACGCGCCGATAAGATTCATTCGGGAAGGGCGAGATTTTCAATTTTGCGCGTTTTTTTATAGTCCCCCCCCCTCCAGCACGGATTTGTTACGTAACGCCGGGCTTGATCCTTCCCCACTTGTAACGCAGTGTAACGCTGGCCCAAGCCCGCCCCCCCCCCAAGTGCGTTACGTAATGCTTGAACGACCCCAAAGAGATTCTGAGAGGCTCTTTGAGATTTCTTGAAAAATGTCGATTGCTCCCCTAAACTTAGTCCCAAGGAGCCCCCTGCTAGGTCCTTTTTGTCAAAGTTTAAAGGGTGATCGCTCCCTAACCCTTGGGTCTATCCGTCCCTAACGTGAGTTGTTGGTCTTTCTTGGTTTTGACAAAATCTGTACATTTTACATCCTCAGGTATTAAATTTGCCATCGGTTTTTTTCATGCTGTTTTAAATTTGGCATGGATAACAAGTTAGAGAGACAAACCTAGCCACTTCACGTCGATCATGACTGCGCAAAGAGCAAACGTGCTCAAATCGTGAGACTTACAGATTCGTGAAAAATTTCAAGTACGTGTACGTACCCAGCTATTATATTTCCATGTGTTTTTGCCAAATTGAGCCAGGAGTAATTTCGCAAAAAGTTGGACCAATCATCAAAACTCCGAAAAAAAATCCCAAATTGTAAAATTAGCTATTTTTCCAAAGAGTACAGATGTAGGAAAACAATAGGTCACGAGCAAATGAAGCTTTTAAATGTCTAATTCGCGTAAGTGCTTTGAACTCGTGAGCTTCGAGAGTCCATCCTTCTTTTGCTTATCGCTACTCCTTAAATTGGTTTTATTGCGGTTCGGAAGCTAAGCGATTCAATTAAAAATCTGCTCCTCAGCAGACAGTTGTCGAAGGGATTAACGTTTCTTATTCCATTCACGCGTTTATTTATGAGCGTCATTTTTTATGAGCCGTTGGGATCTCACGAAAAATGATTAATGAATTACCGAAAGATAATTTAACTAACTTCGGAGAGACGTCAGATTTATTTCCCCTCTTCTTAAGACCGTTGACCTAAGAATTCTTCAAGGATTGGCCCCCGATCATCCGAATCAGTCGAATGTTTACATTTTTCTTACCCTCTCCTTGTACTTAAATTCTCGATTAATCTTGAAGATTTTATTGATAAAGTTCTTAAATGGTGGAAAGTAGAGTTCAAGAAAAGAGTGAAGAGTAGAACAGGAACAGAGGCAAAGGGCTACAAGGAACAATTTCTCTACTCATTCGATCTCGAAGCTATTATAGGAGAATATCAACTCTGAAAATGAAATTTCCGTGTTTACAAAGCAACTGCAATTAACTTTTGCCAGCAGACATTAAATAAGGGGAAGGGAGGGGTGGCAATAACCAGATTCGAATTTTATCGGTGATATTTGTGAATGTTAAAGTCTATATGAACTACATTTTGCATTAAAGAACCTCTATTTCTCGCTCATTTTAGACACGACGTAAATATCATTGGTTTCTGTGTGTATGGCCTTGTCTTAACGGGCCTTTTCACGAGATTTGTCCCAGGGAAAAATCCCATTTACGAAGTTGGGAAAAATATTGAGTTGATCAATATTTTTCCCAGTACCAAGTATGGTCCTTTTACTCCTAGGACCCACTGAGAGAGAAAGAAGAAGTGTAAACGAATTGTGCGATATTTTGTTGAATACTCCATTGTTCATGTTTGTTTAGTTAAAATAATGTGTCTAATTGTCAATTGAATGCAATGGGCCTGTTGCAAACTTTTGCTAGAGCAGAATGAAGAGTTGTTTCCCATAGATAATGCCTCAAAAATCACGATGAGCGCATCGGCAAAGTCTGAAAGGCACTCATAAATTCACAATCTGCGTAAGAAATTTGCGTTATTTTAAGCTTCCCGCTTCAAAAACGATACTACGGCACAGGTGAACATTTTGTTAGAGGAGTCACTCCATCGTCGGCAATATTCATCATGGCCGACGCTTGCGCAGTTCCTCGCGTAATTCGAGGAGAACTCAAGGTCAATTAAGGCGGGCGAGGAAAATATGAACGTAAACACGCCGACTGTCATCTGGTTTAATCCTGTTCAGATGTTATCTCGTCCCATCATACGTGTTTCGGTGGACTGGCGTCGGCCATGATGAGTATTGCCGCCAATGGAACGACTCCTCTAACAAAATGTTCACCTGTACCGTAGTATCGTTTTCGAAGCGGGAAGCTCAAAAAATCGCAAATTTCTTACGCAGATTGTGAAGTTATGAGTGCATTTCATACTTTGCCGATGCGCTCATCGTGATTTTTGAGGCATTATCTGTAGGAAACAACTCTTAGTTTTACTCTAGCAAAAGTTTGCAACAGGCCCATTATTATTTTAATCTCGGTTAAATACTCGGCTTTATCTAATTTATCTTCCCGCGCAAACTAGTCGCAGGACCGTATGAGCCTCGTCCCGTGGAGACAGTAATTGGGAAAAATCCCAGAAGTTTCATCCCTGCGATTCGAACTTGGGACAAATCCCATGAAAACGTCCCGTGGAGACAAGGCCTAAGAAGGTGCTGTAATGAACGAGCGAGGATTAGTGGCTTGTTATCGTAAAATGTAATCAATATGATTCTAATCGATAATTGAATTTTTTGTCTTACGCATGATCTGCATCCAAAATGTCGGAAGAAAAATTTAGGATGAAATTTTTTTCCTTTTATTTCATATAAAACAAAACTCAATATGGGGTTGTAAGTGTGGGTGTCTGTAATTTGATTCATTGTCATTACCATCTTTTGCATCTCAATATGGGGAGCCAAACACGGTTAAATGGCTCAGGCACAGAAATCTAAGTGCAAAATTTCAATGGGACTATATTTTGACTGAAGCATGTATAGAAGTTTGCGCACCATGCACTGTCGGTTGTAGCTCTGATTGTCGCCAATGAAAAACGGCGGTAATTTCAAAAGTATCAGGAAATGTTGAATATTGGTCTATTAGCAGGGTAAGTGAATCAAATGCATGCTCCTTTGCCTCAGACTATCCAAAAGCGACGAGACGCTCCGCTCTGTTTCGTTTCAGTCATGGCGTGAAGTTTGAAATAAATGCCGATTTTTTCATTCGCTTCTTATTGGTCCAGTCGCTCCCGGCCAGAGGGATAAATAATAATAATAATTGGATAAATGAGAGTTGCGTATGAAAATCTTTTCATTTACTTGGGGGTCGTTTTTTTGACGAAGCGGGCCTATGGGAGAACGCGAAGCGCCCTCTGGGGGTTGGGCCGCGTAGCGGCTAGGGGGCAAAGCCCCCTTGTAATTTCTGCAAATTCAAATATCTGGAAACCCGAAACCATTAATAACTCGATGTCAGTAAACATGGAGTCTGACGAGGATTATTAATGCCTTACTGTCACATTGTACGTTTCCTTCAAACCTACTTGTGCCCGTAAATTTGTGTTTCTTTTTGAGCTCTGCTCCTCCACCTCAGTCCGACTTACAACTAGAATGTTATATTCTCGGAGTATATGCATACTAGAGGGTCCGCCTTTTGGCTCCTACGCGGCCTCTCACACCCCCCTCCACACACACTCACACCCCCCCCCACACACACACACACACCCTCACACCCTCACACACACACACACACACACACACACACCCTCACACACCCTCACACCCTCACCATCACCCTCACACACCCTCTCACACACCAAGGCCGCATCGCGGCCAGCGAAATCGTCGAAATCGGCCGTTGGCGGTTATTGAACAAATAATTTTAATTGAATAACAAAACTGTGTTTCAAATAAAAATTCCCCGCCGTACAATAAATGATTTTCTCTTTACTCTCAATGTTGATTCCTTCTTTGGAATTCGACCTTTGGACCGTCTGACTCTATTTCCTCAGTACGTCCATCGAGCGTCTTAAAAATAATTTTATTAGAATAAAGTGGAATTTTATTCTTAAACGAAACGTAAAAAACACGGGACTAAGTTAGTCAATTTTTGGTGATTTTTTACATGGAGGAACGTTTGGTGAATATTTTGCCTTGAGGTTTGTTGACACTTGGATTAGTCAACGACCGGGAGAACGACAAGCCTGAATCACACGTGGCATTTCGTGATTTCTGCGGCCAGGACGTAACGATGCGCTAATCAGCGACACGCATGTGACTTCAGATAAGACCACCTGAGTCGGCGACAATGAGCAAAACCTCGTGAGCGTCGGAGTCCAAGCCTCGGGTACGGGTGGCGGGGAAGCGGAGAGCGGTTGGAGTGGACTGGAAGGGAAGGGCACTAGTATCGCCGCACAATGGTCCGGCTAGCGAAACCTCAATTTACGCACACAAAACGACGAATATCTCGAAAACCACACATGGGATCTCTTTGGGGCCGTGGGAGCTTTTAATCAGAATGTCGAGTTGAGCAACCTATCTATCCAAGTTTCATCAAAGTTGACTGGAGGGGGGGGGGGTTCCTACAAGGATGGTGTGGGGGGTGTTTCCACTTCATCTGTACGGAACTGCCTCCCACGAAGTTGCCTCTCTTTCGGGAATCTGGGGTATTGATTGGAATGGAGCGTAAATGTTATCTCATGATGCGGAAAAGCCTCTTGCGTAGTTTTTAATTATAGGCTTAAAGATATTTTTGCAGCACAGCAAGCACATGAACAGATGCTGAATGCTGCTGCCAATGCTGAAAATATGAATTTAGCAGTAATATATCCTCAAAATCATCATTGAACTAAAGCTTGTAAATTTTTACCAGAGATTTGTATCACTGTAAGGTTTGACCTGAGCCACATGCCCATAAATTCCTGAGGTTTTCTGGGGAAGGAACAAGAAAGACACTTTCTTAGTTCTCTTTCCATCGCCAGCGGCAAAAACTGCGAAGTTCAGAGAATTAATCTGACCGGAAACTTGCGTACCTTAATTAATTATTAATATTCTTACCAAGGTACTATAAATCAAGTCGCGCCAGGAAGTAGGTTGAGAGGTGTGTCCCTTGTTTTTAGTGTATTTTTTTTTCGGAAAATACAATATTAAATTGTATACCCTACGTATTATATGGGTGGTTGGAAAGGATATAGCTCTTCTGTTCGAGGATAATATGAATACTTCTATGACAGTTCCTATTAATTCTTTTACTTGTGTGCTAATGATGTACCTAAAAGTGTTTGGTGTGTTTTGTTTTCTTTTCTTTTCCCAACCATTAGTTTTTAGAAATCGTGTTTTTGCAAGAGCAATACTTCAGCTGTATTTATTTTATCCATCAGTTAGATTTTGTTTTTGGTCGTATCGCTGTTGCAATACTCGTTTCTAGTTTCCTATCTAATGCTGCTTAAAGAGTAGCCGTCATAGGTACAGGTCAGAAGACAATATTTTTAAGTTTCTGTCAGTTGATTTGTTAGTTTTATTTAGAATGTAGTCAACATCATTAATTTTTGCAGGTTCAACGTAGTTTGACCTAATTTTTGTAACTAGTGAAATCTCGCAAGATTCCATGTACTTAATAAGTAGATTACATTATAATTTTTGCGATACATACAGGGTGGTCTAGACCTACCGTACCAGGCCTTTTTTCGGTAAATGTAGGTCGTACGAAGTCCCGGATCGCGGGGATGAATAAAGAATTGATCCCAACCAATCCGAATTTCATAGTCCTAGATTCTCCCCGGCGCCTCTTGGGCGGTAAAAGAGGGGGTTCGTACTTCTCAAGTCAGGATTTATGTGAAAATTTTGAAATTATTTAATCGAAATCAGAATGTACGGAAATGTTTAACGTTAATCGACACTAAGAAATCTGAAATCGACCCATCCGTGTTTAAAATACCGACCCCTAAAAGTTGAGGACAGAGACCCCTTTCATGAAATTGAAGATTGTGTCGATCAAAGTTAAAAATGTCCGTACTTTCTGATTCCGATGAAATAATTTAAAAATTTTCACATAAATCCTGACTTTAGAAGGACGAACNACCCCCCCCCCCAAATCTAGGACCTTGAAATTCGTATTCCTTGTGGGTCAATGCCCGATTCATCCCCGCGATCCTGGACTTCGTACGAACTACATTAACCGAAAATAGGCTCGGTACCGTAGGTCTGGGCCACCCTGTATATTTTTCAAAACTGTAATATTTATACAGCGCAATGTTTAAATTTAAGGGCATATTTTTTTATATCAATATTACTGCTCATGTCAATTGCTCCTCAAAGGAATAGGCCCGTTGTACCATTTTATTTATTGCTTTAATCGAAAGAACTAAGGCTCCTGATGTCACAGGAATTTTCCCGGAGTTTTTCGATCACCGGAAACCCCAAAAAATCATCTTAAAAACGCCTCAAAAGTTTGATTTTCAAAACGGTCTTTTTTACGCGGTAAAGGATCCGTCATACTTGTGACGTGAAATAGTGCAACAGACCTGGTTTTTTCATCACTTACAATGTATTTCCCCATAAGGAATTGGCAGCCGCTTTTCAAATGCAAATATCGAGTCAATCTTTTTTTTTTATTTATTTATTTTTATTTATTTATTCTTTTGCTTTTTGCACATTGGCTTCACAAAAACGTCATTTTCTAAATAAAGGTACTGATAGGTATAAACATATTTACATACAAATCGTCTTAAATTCATTCATTGACATTCAAAAATTCATTGATTGAGTACGGGCATTTTTCAATCAAATGCCTTGTGGCCAGCTTATCGAATGTTGGACTATATATGCTTTCCTGTATAATATTTGGCAATTTATCAAAGAAGTTCCATGCCTTTGTTAGGTATGTGTCGTTCTTTGATAAACTGCTAAATTGGTGATATCTTGTGTCATACCCATGTGTCTCTGCCTTATCTCCCTTCAGCCTTTTAGCCAGTAATTTTAAGTGACTCATAATTATTTTGGCCGGTAATGTTAATATCTCATTTTTTATGAAGTGTTCTCGGCATGATGTATCTTGCTTCAGTTTCAGAATGGTTCTGATTGATTTTTTTTGGAGAATAAAGATTTTCTCTATCTGTTTATTACTCGCGCATGACCAAGTATTGATACAGTAATTTATATGAGACTCGACTAGTGCGTGATAGGCTAGGAGAAGAAGTTTTTTATCGCAGAATTTACTTAACATCCTCAGGACAAAAATTGACGAAGCTATTTTAGATCTTATTTTGTCACAATGCATTTCAAAGTTTAATTTATTATCAAGGTAGAGTCCAAGATATTTTAGTGCGTTTACTTCTTCTAATTGCCTTTCATCCACGAATATATTGAAGTTCCAATTACATTTAATTCTAGTATGTATCAGCATAAATACTGTCTTTTCTTCATTAAAATTCAGGAAGTTAATTTTGCACCATTGTGCATATATCCATCTATTATATTTTGAACAACATGGAATTCAGAAACGGATTCCTCGTACGTTTAAATGGTTAAAATCTTCATTAGATAAATAAGAAACGACGGGATAAACCCTATTTTTAGGGAAGACTGTAGTCAATGGGCGATTGTTTAAATCTGCTTAGTGATAATAGACATGGAAATTAGCTCAATATTTAGTCATTTTCATGAGTTTTTACTTTTTTGTCACCATTTGAAGGTAAGTTTCTTTTGTAAATCAGTTGTTTAGTGCCTCAGGATCATGTTAAAAGCTGTAACGGTACACATTGTTAGGTACTTATTAATTCAGTACACACTCCGGCAGTCCAACGCTCAAACCATGGATGTTCTCTCAATGCGTGTAAATCATTTTTAACTCTTCAACAAACATCTCAATATCATTTAGAACATTCCCACGTTTTGTAAACTTATGTTACTTTAAATTCCTCTGTGTTTTCAATGTACACTAAAGGTAGGTACAGAAAAATTAATCGATAAGTCTGGTAACCGAAGAAGGATCCTACGTCTACTTTCCTTGCCTCCATCTAAAACATACCGGTCTCCTCAGTCTACTTTCCTTGCCTCCATCTAAAACATACCGGTCTCCTCATCTCATGAGTATGGCGAAGGTAAGTTATTTTTTATCATCAATGATTGATACTATCATTTTGGTGTCTTCAGTGAAACATTGAAGGGTGAAATATTAAGTAATAACTACTGACTCGTTACATCCAGGTTTGAGCGTTGAACTGCCGGAGTGCGTTCTGAATTAATAAGTACCTAACAATGTGTACCGTTACAGCTTTTAACATGATCCTAAGGCACTAAACAATTGATTTACAAAAGAAACTTACCTTCAAATGGTGACAAAAAAGTAAAAACTCATGAAAATGACTAAATATTGAGCTAATTTCCATGTCTATTATCACTAAGCAGATTTAAACAATCGCCCACCCTAGTGGAAGTCCACCTTTGCGCAGGTCCGTGCGGCGGAAGGCTAGTCCCCGTCACCTCGTGCAGCCATCTGCGAAGGATGGGATTCCCGAAATTATGCCTTTGTTTCGCTTCCCTCTGCACGGACTCACGGGAGGTGACGGGGACTAGCCTTCCGCCGCACGGACCTAGCCTTCCGCCGCACGGACCAGCACAAGGTCGACTTCCACTAGGGCATTGACTACAGTCTTCCCTAAAAATAGGGTTTATCCCGTCGTTTCTTATTTATCTAATGAAGATTTTAACCATTTAAACGTACGAGGAATCCGTTTCTGAATTCCATGTTGTTCAAAATATAATAGATTGACTCGATATTTGCATTTGAAAAGCGGCTGCCAATTCCTTATGGGGAAATACATTGTAAGTGATGAAAAAACCAGGTCTGTTGCACTATTTCACGTCACAAGTATGGCGGATCCGTTACAGCGTAAAAGTGATCGTTTCGAATGGGTCGGTTCTAAAAACAGCTTTTTTTGAGTTTGAGAGGCCATTTCAAGTTTTTTTAGTAGCGCCATCGTTCTTTTCGTAAAAATTTACCCTAGGAATCAGGCATCAATTTGCAAATCCCTGCACCTTGCAACAGGCCCATTGTTAAGACCTCTAATTTCTCAGATTGTACGTGAGGGAAAATTGTGTTATTTTAAGATGGGTCTTCTGCTTTTTTTTCTAGTTCTATTTAATGTCCATGTTGTTTTCAGCCTGAATCTCTTGATTTGTAGTTTTCTTATTGCTTTGTCTGGGTTTTCTTGCATACCTAAGTATTTTTTTTTTTTTTTTTTTTTGAGAGCTTGCGCACTCTAGGTATAGTTCATTGGCCTTAGTCGTGTAGACAAACAGCCACCGCTAAATGATGGGAAGATTGCCACTCCACGGTGACAAGATCTGAGACCATCAAATCTTGCCACCGAGGCCGGGATTCGAACCCGGGACATCTAGGTCTGTGATCAGTTGCGCTAACCACTGGACCAACCGATGTCGGCATACCTAAGTATCAAGTGTTGCATCGTGGAAATATGTATGCATTTATAATCAGACGTGGAGTTGTTGTTTTTTTTTTTTTTTTTTATTTATTTTTTTTTATTTTTATAGATATTTCCTGCAAACAGAACAAAATTTCAAAAGTTGCCAAATATTGAAGAAACAATTCATCGATAATATATAGTATATTTTGCGTAAGTGTTTTATTGTACAAATATTGTTGTTTTTAAGTTTTAAGGGTCCTTTGTTGCCGTTCCATGCTGAGCTTGTATCTATTGAAAATTTAGGATCGGACTACAATTATTACATTTATAATTTTTGCTTGAAAGGAATATTTCTGAACTTTGATTGAGTACCACGGCTGGATCAGCACTCAGGGGCCGGAGGTGCCGGCGGGTACAAGGGGTCTGCACATTTCCGGGTTGTATACTCTCTTAATTGAAGGCAGTTCTTCACTTTTCCAAAAAAACGGAGGGTTCATTCAAGGTTATAAAGTCGTCGTCCCCCCCCCCCCCCCCCC